TGTCAGGTGCCACAGAGGTGAACAATTACGTCTAGGCTAAGTGGACTGCCTCTGGCATAACTGGAAGCACAAAACAGTTATATCACACTGAGTTCCAGTAGGTTGGGAGACAATTCTATGCTGCCCCAGTTGTTAGTTCTCATTTACAATCTGTAATGCCATACAACCAATGCCTGTCACTCTGGGTGATAGTTGAAGTCAATGTGCTGGATTCATACCACTTATCAGAGAGAAAAAAAAAAAAGTACCTCCACAACTCATTCTTTTTTTCTTGCCTTTTGAGAAAAGCTTATGAGAAAGCTCCTGTAGCTTGTATGCAAAAGACAAAAATCAAGTGTCTTAATTTACAAACGGGTGCTAATGTTTTCCAACATGACTTTATCATATAAAGATATTCAGGTAAGTTAGATACCCAGAAATCCCACAGATATAAATAAGAAGTGCATTGTATTTCACAAGCAGGAAATATTTCTATACTGTTAAAAAACAGGTTACTTTTGTTTAGGAACTTTAAGATGGATTCAGGAGTCCAAGTATAGACATGCAACTGCTGGTCTTTATACTTCAGTACTATGTCCAGGTTAAACTAATGTTGAATGGTCTTTAAAAAATATAATCAGGTTGAACATCACAAATCTTGCTACATTAAATCTAATATGCAGTTGGCAGTAACTGCATTCCCCTTAATACAACACCATGACTCACATGCTATATTTAGTTTTAGCTGACATTTGAAATAGTGAGCTTAGCCAATTCATCAATAGCAGCTGTAAAAGTGAAGTAGATCTTTTCCTACTTAAACAACTACTGATCAGTCTGCAGGGAGCAGAAGCAACCAATGCCAAATATGTACTGCATAAAATATCTGCTAAGCATCAGTGCTGTTAGGACACCAACGTTGAAGACAGCCAGGCAAAAGCCACCAACCGATAATGCAGTTGCTGCATCTTAGTATGTTGCTTGTTAAGAAACAGCTAACAGAATGTAGATACATGCTGGAATAAATCAGCCGTGGGTCATGGGCCTGCTTCCATTTTTCTACTGGTGCAACTCCACTGACTTCGTTTGCTCTCAATTTACATACTTGGAGACTGTCAGGTTCTATCACCTGTGAATTAGATAATCACATAGGATTGACACAAAGTGGGATTTGAGCATTGTCTTTTCACCACATCACTACTATAATCTTAATATTCAGTTATATATGTACTTAGCCCAATAAAACTGGCATTTAAATGCTGATTATGAAATATATTGCTCTGACCTTTGCTGCTGTTCTATCTACTACAAAGCAGTAACACATGGCCAAAATGTCTTCTAAGACCAGGAAAGCATCTAAGCACATTTCCTTCCTACAGTCGGAAAGCCAGAATTTACTACAGACTAAGCATTACCTGAATCAAATGCTCTTTTTTCTATTAGTGTCTCCACATAAGAACCTGAAGCAAATGCAAAGATGACCTCCCCCCGCCCCCGGCTGATCAAAAAGCCTAGTGAGAGATAGCAAATGAAGACATATCAACACACAGAAAAAGGTAGGAGAGACAAAGGCTACATCATTACAATGATGTGTGGCGAGTACCAAAAAAAAAAAAAAGAAAGATTGAGCGGGATACAACAAAGACTGTTTTGTAAAGCACTTGTCTTATTACTTGTAGCCCATGCACTGATCACTGCATGTCTAAAGCAAAGCACTTCATGATATACAGGACTCCTCTGAAGGAGGTAAGAACTGTTATTCTTTAAATAGGTAAGAAAACTGATACAGGAAATAAAGGATATTCCCAATAAGTAAGCGCATGTCAGCTGGACAGTCCCCAATTACACAACTCAGGCCTAATTTTCAAAGGTGTTGGAGACCTACATTTCTCATGATTTTAAGGAATTTTGGGTGCTTGGTGCTTCTGACAACTGGATTGTGTGTGTCAGCAGAGACACCCAAAATCAATGGAAATGAACTGAGAACCTGAGATCTCCTATTCTCCACCCCTACACTTTAACCACTAGCTGTCTTTCCCTGGAACTCACTGACTTTTCGGAGGCAAGAATGGGGAAGAAGGAAGCTAATAAAACACAGAACATACCATTTAAGAGAGACAGGATTATAAGATTGTAGCCAAAGCCTGACTAAGTAAGTTATTTTATAAACAACATTGGTGTTTTTTAGACTTTAATTATAATTCATTATAATAAAAGAAACTACAAGTTGGAATGTCTCTCTCTCCATGATAGATGGAGGAAAACTTTCTTGAAGTGAAAACAACTTTTTGGAAGGGGGACAAGCTTATACTAAAATCAGAAAGTCTACTGGCTTAATTTGAGATGTTTCATAATGTAGCTAATAAAAATGGTACTTTAAAGTGCTTTTACGGAGACTCTTCCAGCTAAACAGACATTACTGAAAAAAAAAGGGAAACACTATCTTCCCTGTCTGCAAACGGTTTCTACAAGGGAAGTACTGCTTTTCAGACAAAAAGAAAAAAAAAAACTCAGCAGGACTATTTTTCAGCACATGTTATATGACAAATGTTTAATCACTTTGCTAACAACTATTATATATAACATAGCTGCCCTGGCTAATACTATTGATCCTTCCAAAACTGTTTGTCTAGATAATAGTAGTTAACCTACACCTCCCAAGTTAATGTGGTTCTGGCATAATGTTCATTCAGGTCTTTCACTGCCAGCTCAGGCACTAGCATTCATTCAGTTGCAGCATGTAGCGCTTGCTATGTCAAGCTCTGGGCCCCAACCCTGCTCCGACTGAAATAAAATGACCAAGCTCCCACCAAAAAATCCGAAAATTTAGTGAAGGCCTCTCCAATGGAAGTTGTCATGGTACTGGACTTCTAACCAGGAAAGATCACAATTACCACGATGCTCAATAAAACAGACAAAGCATTCAAAGTATTCCTAAAATAGATTGAAAAAAAAAAATCAGCTTCATTCCTGTTTGCTGTATATGTAAAATCACTATAGAATTAATACTTACCAATGTAGTTATTAAAGTTCTGTTACTAATCATCATGCAGGATCAGTCCAAAGTTAGCCAGTCTGCCTGACTAAGTACACTGGATTAAAAAGATACTGATCTACCAGTTTAGTCACACCATTTAGGCTTTTGTAAATTTAGTTTTGTATGTTTACAATGCATAGGAATAACTTACCCCAAATAAATCTATTTGTAGTGGCATTACTGCAGGGTGTCAACTATTCAGAAGACAGAAAAAAAAAAAAAAGGAGCAAAAATTTGCTCTCCTGGGAGTAGACTGAGTTTTCATCCATCTCTGCTTAATAGCCAAGAAAATAAGATTTAAAAAAAAGGGTTACAGATTTAGGAGTTATCATGATTGACTGCATCATCCACTTGGCTTAAAAGGTTTTTTCCAGGCAATGGTGTATTCATAAAGAGCATAACAAATCCAATACCTATACTTAAGAATCAAACAGTTGCCTGGGTTCCTGCTTGATTCTTTGTTCCATAAGATCTTCATTGAGGATACTCAACCACTATTTGTCCATGAACAGGGTAGAATCTGAAGAAAACTAGTCTGGCTTTAAGAAGGAGATCATGAACAGTGCAATAAATGTCATATCAGGAGAATATCTGATATGTTTTTAGACCAACTAAAATAGTTGGAAAATTTCTTTTTTGCAAGCTTTGAGGTACCAACATCCATTGTCAGGCTGAGGAAGCATCTGCAGTTGGTCTGTGCTCTTCCTGGATGCAAGATTACAGACTTCCATCTGACTTCCATCCAGGAAGAGCACAGACCAACTGCAGATGCTTCCTCAGCCTGATGAAGGATGTTGGTACCCAAAAGCTTGCAAAAAAAGAATTTTTCCAACAATTTTAGTTGATCTAATAAAAGATATCAGGTTTACCCAAAGAACCTTGTCTATGTCTTAAGACCAACACAGCTACAATCTATAACCCTGTATCAGGAGAATGAACCTGATGACCCAGGAGTCCTTTTTACTTATTGTCCTGCTAATTCTAGACCATGCCTTCTATGCTGGGGGTGGATGAGAATATAGAAAATGAATTAACAGAAGATGAAGAACCTAGCTGAATGCAAATATCTGCAAGTGTTACTATGAATTCAGACTGAAATGCAGCTGATTGTCAACTATATGCCTATTAAAGTCTCCCTAAACAAGGAAAAAGGGTGATTAAAAAGCAAGCTGAACCAGGTAACAAATTGAAGCACCAGTTGGCACTTATAAAAATCATACCCAAAATCAGATCACATGAGCTAGCTCAGCTTTAAAATAAAACCATGTTTGTTGCAATTTAGGCAGACTGGCTTTGACTGCAAGGAGAATTATGAACATTCAGCACTATTAAAGAATCAGGCTCTAACTGGCCTGTCTAGATATGGTTGCAGGTACTTCATTTTTGACACTGGCACTTTAAAACCTTAGTCCCATGCTGGTTTTATAAGCCATATCCTGACAATTTTAATTTTAGATACTTGTTCCCCAGATACAATTTAGTTGCTTGCATGGCATCTGTAATAATTCTCAGGTCTCACATTCTTGCCTTTAAACTGTATCATGACATAGACTGCGTCAAACTGAATAATGTTTCAGCATCCTTTCACTGCATACTATATAACAGAAACACACTGTAATCTCATCAGCGATCATAAAAAAAAGTTAAAATTGCCACATTTAAATGACTGTTTTTTAAGGCCTGGGTAAAAGGAAATCTGCAGTTTACCTTGTAAACTATCATGTGGTTATTAGTATAAGGATTAAGGATTTCATTTCGATTATTCTTCTGATCTTCTCTGAAAAAAAGATGCAATAAAGGCCACACGGAATAAGGACCTGACAAGTGATGTATCAATGATGAGAGAACAATGAGTTTATAGAAGCAGAAAACCACTTCAATTCCAGTATGTACGGTTGTCTTAACTGCTCTGTATCTATGCCATTAAAATAACAGAAAAGCAACATAATTAAACCCTGACACAGAAACACTGTACAGCTTTTCATTCAAAGGCTTAGGATGAAATATATTACAGAAATCTATTCTACTGCAATCCCCTACAATTTAACCTTTAATTCACACAAGCCCTAGAAACAGGAAGAAAGAATTGTGCATATTATCACCTTCAGATTTCATCAGAATCAGTTAATCTTTACTCGTATATAATTCTGGACCACAGACAGGGTTATCCTGTTTCCAAAAGATTAGTCTGCTGAATTAACATACTGTGCACATTTTTAAAAGAAAGAAATTATACTAAAACAGAAAGCTCTGTACAAATGTTGTAAATGTCTTTTTCAGGTACAAGCATTCAATTAGTAAAACAACAAAATTAACCATTTCTGAAGTATTTCAACATCAAAAGATTAAATCAACAATTATGGTTCAAGTTAGTACCTTTTAATTCTCCAAACACCTGGAGAATAACATTATTCCAGTGATAACAAACAAATAACAAACACTGTTCTTATCCTTTTAAAATGGATAAGTTTTCTAGGTTAGTTTTTATGCTCAGTCTTCAACATATTTGAGGAGTAAGAAAAACAAGTTTCCAAGGCAAGCATGGATGCAGACACAATCAGAATAAAAGAAACCCTTGTTTATTACAGTTTTTTTGAAGAGAAATGAAAGCCTCTCCCCAGACATAAATCTTCATGGTATCTGACTGGTGTAAAAAAGACCGATTTACTTGGTGAGAATTTTTTTTTCAAATAGGTGATACCCGTTCATTTAAAAAACAAACAAACAAGGGGACCACCCAACTCAGAAACTGTATGCATGCAGCTTCTATAGGAGATGTATAAATATAACCAACAAAACAATCAGACCCTACATAAAACTAAATGTGCGGCTAGTTATCTCCATATTGCCATCAGTACTTATTCAAAGAGTTGAGTCGATTCTTAAGTCAGCCAACCCCAAATTAAATCAGGCCACTGGTATTTAAACTGACCCTCCTGCTTTTGTTTCAGCATACTGATTTTTTACAGAATGAATGCACACAATGGGGAGTTAAACGGAGTAGGAGACAAGTCTTAATTTAATTTCACTGACATCACGTTTACATTGTTGATGCAAATCTATTAATCCCACTATCATGACAGATGGATAGAGAATCTTCTTTCTTTCACTGATTTAGAGAACAAACATTTAACATGGTCTTTGTATTTATCTTGCATTATGTCTCCCAGGCACTTGTTTCAACATTAGCTGTGATATTTGGAGGCTATGCTTTCAAGGCTCATTGGTACTGTTATAGTGATCAAAGTGCCCACAAGTAGGATATTATTCACAGAAATTGTGGAAAATATTGCTCAGTGAGCAGTTTGTATTCTGAGTTGTGACTCTGAATAATTGACTTGCCTACACAAAACGGCCTGTCACTATTACATATTAACTTTGGTCCACTTCAAGGATTTTCTTTTTCCCTTCTTGCCATATGAGCAAAGTTAATAACATTAGACGCAAAAGAACCTATTTTAACTTTAAACTGGTTAAGTAAATGTAACAAAAAAAGCTGCAACCTAAAGTAGTCAATCCCCACATATTAAACATTCACTTTGCTGTTACTTAAATGCTAAACATTAAAAAAGTATACTTGTGTATTTAAACATAAGAGTCTCTTGAACCAAGATAACCTTCTTGCCTCCCTCCCCACTTCCCCAAAATAGACAAGGCTGGTACAAGTGAGGTGGGAAACTTAGACAGGTTTCACCATCATGAGCAGCAGAACTGCTGATTCTGTTAACTGTACTCAGTCTGGTCAATGTGGCTGTCATAGCTCTTCTCTCTCTTTGCTAGCTCGGTTATTATCTTCAAGGGGTTTAGATTTCTTCTCGGCATCTTTTTTCTTTTTAGTTTTTTCAGGTTTGGTTTTGTTTTTTACTTTTTCACTTTCTTCTGCTCCTTTACCAGGGTAAACCTGCCCTTCCACAGTTACATCTGCACATCTCTCCTGATTCACCAGAAAGTCTTTGATCTCCCAGGCATAGCTCCCATCACGTAGCATAAAAATGGCACGGTTTGCACCTACAATAAACCTAAATGAGAAAACACCACAATTAGCATACAGCCTTTGAAGGGCTAAAACATTAAGCCTCATTCAGAGGAGTTTCCAGATCAGGGTGTACATTTAGGAACACAAAGGTACACATATTTAAGGGGGTACAGTTTCTTACTAGCATCTCCAGGGAATTAACAGCTGATATTGGTAAAGTGCCAGTACCGTACTAAGCAGAAAGATGTTTCAAATACTCATTAAAATACATAAACACAAAAGGCAAAGAGAAACATGTAGAGTAAAAACTCAAAAGTTTCCAAATAACTACACTGGACTAGGACATTAAGTTAACTTTTGGCAGTAATCTAGGTGTTGTAATTGAGCTGAAACTTCATACCATCGAGCAATCCACAAAAAGGCATGTTTGCCTGAATTTCAAAAATTTGGCTAATAAATACACACACACACACACACAGAATATCAAAGTAAGATGCCACTAAGTGTATTAATAAATATTATTACTGTGAATATATATTAAATCTCTTTCACATA